ATCTGTTAGGTTTTACTTATGGAGAAACATTTGTGTATGTATGTATGTTTGTATGCACAAGAAGTTAATTTCATAGAAATTTTTTTTTATGTATTATTGCTAATGTACTCACCATAGTTCTGAGACTGTAATAAACAAGTATACAATCTAAATTAAAATAAACTTTTGGAAAATACATTCTAATTGTATTTAACTAAAAAAATAAATGTTCTTATAAAGAAACAAATTTTAATTAAAAAAATTCCTGTTTATTTGTCTTCAGCCAATTAACAGTTAATTTTCACATATGACAGAGGAAAAAATTTTGTCTGTTAAATCAAGGTTTTACTGTATTTGTTAAAGCTAAAATCCAACGAGTGATAATATATGAAAAAATATACTTGCATTTAAATTTGAATTGATAGTAGTAAATACAGTAGAGCATCAATTATCCGACTCAATTGGGGACTGGAATTGGTCGGATAACTGAAAAAACAGATAACCGAAAAATATTAAAAAATACATTATTAGTATATCTCATGTAATTAGTATATCACTATTAACCTACTTCGCGTTGAAGTTTCATTGATGTTAAGCCTAACAAAAATTTTTTTTAAATAATAATTGTCGCTATTGTATTGTTAAAAATTAGAAAATTAAGCCTTGTTTTAATACTGGCTCCCTTTCATGGTCGAGCCAGTGTTGCCAGCTAAAACACGTAAAAATACTATTAAAGTAGCCAAGACATAGCAAATATTGTAGCGCCACATCACTAGCGGACACTTGAATTTGCCGACTAGAACGATCAGTTAACCGATGTGACGGTTAATCGGGGGTCGGATAGCCGATGCTCTACTGTATTTCCTTTTACTAGATGTGGTACCTGACTTTGCTTCTAAAATAATGTATTAAGTAAAATGAACATACTCATATAAAAATCTCACACACATACAAATTTATATAAAGCAAAAGTATAAATCACAACACAACAGGCTAAAAATAAAATTATAAATAGAATAAAACTTGACACATTCTGGTAAAAGACTGTTTACAAGTGTGTTTACAGTGTGGGGTAAGGAAAAAATACAACACAATTAGTTCAAAACTCAGCAAGAAAAACAATTCATACTGTTATTAGTTCTGCATGAATATGAACTAGGTATGAAGTATATAATACATATCTCAAAACCCGATGACTTAATATAATAATCCAATGATCGCCTAAATATTCGTGCCATAATATGGCTATAATCAAATAATACAAATAAATTTGGAACTAGAGGTAAGCATTAGGCATCATCTCTTATCTAAATTAATAATTATAATAATTTAATAAATAATTTAGAACCTTCTTGAAAAAAATAACTGACCCGGGGCAGGGCTTGAACCCGCAGCCTCCACTTGCTGTGCGGTGCACTACCAATTGCACCATCTAGACTCCAAGCCAGCCTTCACTTCCAGAAGTGCTTAAATTTCTATATAACTTTCCACGGTTACATATAGTGCTGGCTGGAGATGACTCTCATGCCAACGGCCAATAAACATCTCTGCGGCAGTCAGCCAGCTATCGCTGTCCCTCGCAAAGTATATATATAGTTGGTCGTCTCCAGCCAGCTCCGTACGTAACCGTGGAAGGTTATATTGAAATTTAAACACTTCTGGAAGTGAAGGCTGGCTTGAGGTATGGATGGAGCAATTGATAGCACGCACTGTGCGGCAAGTGGAAGCTGCAGGTTCAAGCCTCACTCCGGGTCATATTTTCTTCCAGAAAGTTCTAAATTATTTATTATAAAAAATTCTAATTATTAATTTAGATAAGAGATGGTGGTGCCTAATGCTTACCTCTAGTTCTAAATTTATTTGTATTAATTATTTGATTATGGCCCAAATATTTAGGCAATCATTGGATTACTAGGTATGAAGTATTTACTATTGCAAACAATTTCATAATTCTATCAAAGCTTATAAAAATTCAAATGATTATTAAAAAAGTGCCTTATATATCCTTTTCAAAACTATCCTGAATATATACAGTTGACCCCCGTATAAGATCATTGATTATTCCGTTTTATATGAATTCCATGTTGTACGAGTCACTTAGATTTTACAAATACGTGTACCGGGCNCATTAAGTTAAAGAATCAAACAAGCATTTATTTGCCGTGAGATACGTCTATCAAAGTGTGTTTTTTTTTTTTTTTTGAATTACAGAGACAGATTTATATTGAAATATACCATACAACAAGCAGATTATATATTAAGCATTTATTTCTTCCTTCATATCAAGGCTGCTTGGAAAAAAAAAGAGTTGAGTTTAAAAATCCTAAAAAGGTTGATTCAGTTTCATAAGCATGCTACTTTACAATAAAATACATAAATTACAAATATAATAATAATTTCAACAATTTTTTTGTATTAATTTAGAATTTCAAACAACTTAACTGCATTATTTTTATTACATGTAAAATGTGTCTTATGATTTTTTTCTATGTTGGAATGATATTGAAGGTTATTATATATATATATATATATATATATAACACACACTATTGTCAATACAGCACAAGGTTGAAATAAGGAGGTTGTGTGTTTCCTCCATCAAGAACTGGAAATAGTCATCACACCACACAGGTATGTTAATGACTAGTCTATACTTTCCTGGCTCTCTCATATATAAACAGAAGGATAGTATGGCAATTGGTCAAATATAACCCTCCCCAAGATTTTTACATTTTTGGACTTGGGATCTTGAAACATCAAGAAATGCAAAAAATATTTATGGGTTTTTTCTGTATGTATGAATGGATGTTAGTGTGTGGAATGCATGATTTTGTTCACCCTCTTTGAAGTTTAACTCCTGTGCTTTTTGTCAAAAATTTCTTAAATTTTGCAAGGAAATATGTGTATTAAGCAGTTTATGCTATTAAATTTTGATGGTTAAAGTTCAAAAGAATGGGGAGATAAAGGGTTCCGTGTCATATCTCAAATACTCAAAAATTTTTATTTAGTGATTTTTTTTCTTAATTTAAATATTTTTTCATTTATTTTATAGCATATTTACGTAATCCTGCAAATATTGCTTACCATGCACAGTCTACAATGCCAGTTACACTACCTAGACCTCTGTCCAATCTCTGCTTCCAGAACTATTAATTTAGATATAACCATATTGGTTACTCACATCAAGTAGGAATGACTAACCACCTATGGCCAATAATGCCCACTAGAGCACTCAGCCAACCATCACTTTACCCCATCATAATGTATACATACATCAAAAAATCCGACTTTTTAAATTAAAGCATCATTGCCAGATTATATTATACTATATTAATAATCAAATGTTAAGTAATTTGGTATAGAGCTAGGCATTAGGCACAATCTCGTGAAAAATTTTTCCTAATACACTTAGGCTAAATTACATTTATATATGAGCAATTATTTATTGTAACATTTTCACAATACCAGGCTGCAATTTTTAATCAATTTAATTTAAAATACATGCTCTCCACTTCAAATTAGTAGTGACTTGCCCCTGTACACCACACTTTTCCTTTATCAATGAAGTCATACCAGTCATCTAATTCCTTTCAGAGAAAAATTTTTGAATTGAAGTAACATGACTTCCAGTTTGCATTGAAAGTTCATATATAATTATTTGGGGGTTTTTGCCCAAGCTTTCTATATCTGGTCCTCGACTTTCATCTAACTAACTCTGTTCTCCAGATTAAGGAAGAACAGACACATTTATAGGTTTACAATTTTTTCAAACTGCAGCCTAATGAATTTCAATAAAACAGTTTAAATTTGAAACAAAGTTTAGTATTTAACTTACATATTTTCAAATACAAAGTATATTGATAACCATGATTTTTTTTCATTTAAAATCCAATTCTAAATTAATAATAAGAGGAAATAAGTTAATTGATTAATGCATTGGAAATATATTAATTAGCTTATTTCCTTTTCGTTTTTGTCAGTCAATGTTAAATAATATTTCAATAATATGAAAGGTCAGTTTAGTTTGTTTTTTAAAAGAAATTTTCATATTCAAGTACATCACAATTTTTAAAAACTTTAAACTTATAAAAAGTTCATCAATCATCATCCTAGTAATAAACTTTTATTATGACGACATCACACTAAAACTAACATAACTGGAACTTTCGCAAATCTTTTATTACGGGTATATGCATATGCTGTAACAGAAGTTAGAGTATTAAGCATATTTATGTCAGAAACAAGCATCAACAATTTTCAAAATATTTCAAAATAATTTCATATAGTTTCTAATTTTTTTTATCACAGTCATTAAATAAATCAATACACTTGAATCTTAATAATAATTTAGGTTATCAAACTTTAAAAAGTAGCAAATTCACCTAAGATAATTTTATTAAATACTCTCTTTAATAACCTTTTAGTGTTTTATTATTTCCAAATTAAAATCTATTTTGTATTTTACATTTCAGAGGAAATTATAAACACTTATTTTATATCCAGAAATTAAAAGTATATGCTAAATCAGTGTTCCACAACCGGTGTGACGTGTACTTTAACATATTCTGTTAATTAAATTTAAATTTTATTTATATATTTTTATCACAGTTGTTGTGTTTCTTAAGTTTGTATTTCATTCTCTACCACAGCACCGATAGAATAAGATGATGATTGTATATTCTTTATTACAAACCACTCATTTTTATGTATTCTAAGAAATTATATGTAAAATAAATTTGCTCACAGGTGTTGATATCTTTTAATAACAATAATAATAGGTTAGTGGCATTATGTAATTCTATTAATAGTATCATATCATATGTTTTTGAGGGGAATAACATTTTAGTGTGCCGTGTTGACTCATGGGTGTGCCGCAAGTAGAAAAAANAAAAAAAAACAATGATAAAAATATTCTAGGCTAAATATTAACAAAATAATCTAAATAAATAATTTCAAAGTTTCTCAGAAAGCAAATAATCTTGTTAACAAATTTTTTAATCTATCCTAAATATATTACTTACCTTCCATTGGGATTCAGGTGAACCAACAATTGTAACTTTTCTTTCTGCTTGACGGTCACTTGGTTCATCTTTATTAGGTTGTGTAACCTTATTAAAAATATTAAAAGTAAATATTTAAATTCCTTTACATATAAAATTTTTTTAAAAAATCAACTGTCAAGTAATGAAAAAATTAAGACTACTGAAGGAAATTTGAATTTATCAAATTGACAAAAAAACTCAAAAAAAAAACTTCATCTTTGCTAATTTCCAACCTTGCATCTTTAACTCCTTTAAGATAAAAATGCTACTTATTTTTAGAGGTCTTAGATGACATGTCACCTAGATGAAGGGTTGAACAGTTGCTTTCTGTACACTGACAGTGTACAGAAAACAACTGTTCAACCTAGATATATCCACTATCAAACATGACATTCACATGAACTGGTATGAACATGTCAAACGGCATTCACATGAACTAATAAGTAAACATGGCTATATTTGCACTCTATAGAAGGGCAGTGTAGTATGAGAGAGAAAACAAGCAGCTCAAGTATGTAGAAAGAATTGAAAAGATGCATGAAGTCCCAAGATATTTACTCCAGACTATATAAAGGTTGTTGAAAAAATAACTTCCCCAAGTTATTTTTTCAACAACCTTTATACAGAGGGCTCTGGAGTGTGTTCTACTGCTTGAAATGAAATATTTGGACAACAAGTACTTTAGATGACACACACACACACAATTTATTAAATAAAAATTTTTTATACAAAAAGTTACCAATAGGTGATTCTTTCACCTTAACATTGGACTTACTGTATAACACCTGATTAAACTTCACTGGTGTCAAGTAACTGATTTCACAGGTAAACATTTTTGGCTTTGCCTGAGCTCTGCCTTAGGTTTCCAACATTCTATGAAATAGAACTAGCATCAAAGTCTTTAGTCACATTCAAAATGCTACATTGCCAACAGACCTATGATGCATTCAAACATACATCATTACATAATTCGATGGGCTATGTTGATTGGACAGTGTCTCACTGATAGTGATGGATTGAACATTACTTTCCAGGCATATGAGATTTGTTTTTCTTCCTTATAACTAATGCATATTGAGATTGACAACTTAAAAAATTGAGGGCCTCCATATCACAGATACCTTCATCATGTTGTGTACATAGCACCATCAGTTGATAGAAAAAGACATCCATCGTTAGAGGAATATGTGGTCAGGGCAGTGCATGCAGCCCTTATCTATGTTGCATTGATGTTTGCGAATACTCTGTTTCATAGACCTAGTGATAAAGTCAACAAATTTGATATCCAGTGATTCCTTAGGGCTGTCTTATATTGTGTGCTCTGGGTGTTTAATTAATTAATAATTAAGGGAGTTGTTCCCATTTCTAAACACCCAGAGAGCCCAGGAAATCACAGGATCAACAAAGAACTAATCTACATTGGCTCAACCACTAGGTCTCAAACAAAATTAGCAAACACCAATATAACATAAGGAAATTCTCCACTGCCCTGGTCTCATATGCCTCTGATAAAGATATAAAAGCCCTTTTCCCTCAAGTGATGCAGATACATATAATCTGATGCAATGATGGTATCTGTGATACAGAGACCCTGCTTTAATCATAAGAAAATGCTGACAAATGTAGTCCTTTAGACCTGAGTCACAGATGCACATCTTTCACAATAAACCTGTCCTTCAAGAAACCCCATAACTAAGTCACATGGGTGAGGTCAAGTGAGTGAGGCAGCCAAGTTGTTGGGAAGTAATAACAGATCATCCATTCATCTGTAAAAGTCCACCTTAACACTCATTGAACAGAGAGCAATATGAAGTGATGCACCATCTTGCATGAGTATGATATCTTGAAGGCACCCACATTGTTGAAGCTCTGGGATCACAAAAGTTGCCAGCATGTTAAGATACTGTTCTCTGGTGGAACAGATTTGGATCCCAGTGGGAGTTCTCTTAAAAAAATATGATCAATGTTGCCATAAAACTGCACAATACAGTTACTTTTTCACTATGCAAGAGCTTTTTATGGATCACACAAGGGTTATCCATTGTCCAAATTTGACACTTGTGCATATTCACTTGACCATTTAGGCAAAAGAGGACTATCTGTCCACAGAATGTTTGATGACCACAAGACATCAAACATTTGCACTTCAGTTCCTGATGTAATTTATGAATTTCTGCATCCTTTTGCTGCAGCTAATGAAAACATTTGATCTTGTATGGAAGATACAAAGTCTGTTGTATTACTTGTTGTTCAGTGGAATATGGCATATCCACAGCATGGGCAATAGCTGATACACTTGCACTAGCATGAGGAGATTGATTGGACACTTCCATGACAGTCATGGCCACATCTTCCACGTGAGCAGAATCCACTAATTTCCTTTCTTACTTGGCAGAATGTCAAGCTGCCAAGTTCTTTCAAATTCCACCATCACATCACAAAGAGTACATGGAGACATTGGACCTTGTTGTAAGTTCTTCTGATGGCAGAATTCTCCAGGTTCTGAGAGAACAACTTACTAGCATAGCTTTTTCTTGCTGTGTGAGCATTGTGCAATAGGTTCAGAAACACTTTTAATGCTTGTTTAGAGCATATCTTCACATTTTATCTAATGAGTCACTTTATGACATTGCCAACAGCATCATTCCATACGAACATCAGCTATTGTTCCCGCACAACCTATTGGGGATTTATTTTGTATAAAAAATTTTTATTTAATAAATGGCAAACACATCATCTGAAGTACCTGTTGTCCAAACATTTCATTTCAAGCAGTAGAACATGCTCCAGAGTCCTTGGAGATGGGAAAGTTAGCTTTTTAAAAATGACAAGGTTTTGCATTATGGACCTATAGTTATATAAAATCAAACTGGACCTAAAAGAGGAGAAAAAAACAAGATTGGGATAGTAACATAGAAATTTGTCCATTTTTTATAAGAATACAAATGACAAGGAATACAAAACAAGATATCAACAGAACAGGGTGCATTCTATAATTATAAAATCTGTGGTAAGAGACAACAGAGTATATTGGAAGTACCTTAAGAACATTTAAGCTGAGATAACTGAACACACAGAATTATTCAGAAAAAAGAAGGCATCATTATACAAACATCTCCAACCCGATATATAATATAGTTACAACCAACAGACTGCCGAAAATCTATCGGGCTAGTTTTATGCTAATTATTAAATAAATTACGTAATCAATTTGGTACTAGAGGTAAGCGTTAGGCGCCATCTCTTATTAATATTAATAATTATAAATAATTTNTAAATCATTAAAGAAAATAATACAATAATAAACTTACACATAATTTATGTGATTAACGTTATACAATCTTATTTATTGCAACAACTTAAACTGTTATGGCACTTTGAATTGCACAAGAGTCCCTTGCTTTTACGACTGCATTTATTTGTGGAACATTTTTTTTTTTATGCAATGACAGCTTGTATAGCCTTGCCCTCCACTTTTCAAATTAGCTGCAGCTGCTTCTCTCAGCGATATTTCTTGAGAAGATATCTCATCTATGGAAAGTAACTTCTCTTTACAAATTACGAACTGATTACGTTATTACGAACTGATCTGTTAAATGATATCTTTTATTCGGATATCGCCGCCTTACCAATGACCCCTCTCATCCTCCGCCACTCGACCTGAGAAACCGATCCCCACCTCACGGGATCAAAAGACCTTGTCCTACCTCTGGCTATCCACAAAGGATTTGGCAACAGACTGTCGCCTGTCTGTCAACATTGGCTTCTCGGATGTCGTTTCGACCTCCACCAAAGCTTACCTGTACTTGTCGACATACACCGGCGATTGTTCGAATGTATAATAATATAACCAAATATTCGGACTTTCACCGTCGTATTTTGTATGTGTCGACATTCACAGGAGAATATCGACATTCTCTAATTTCAGTCTTTCACAGTAACATATATATATATTTCATTCGTTATTTTATTTTATTTGTATTTAAATTTTTGTTCTATTTTGTTTATATTCGGATATCTTAGCCTGATGATGGACAACAGATTTGGCTGAAAATGTTTGCTTTTCATTAAATTTTTCTCAGCAAATTAAGGTGTTGTGTTTTTGATTTACAATGTGTCACATTAAGTAAAAAATAAAAAAAAGAGATAGATATTATTTACTTTATAACATTTTATAAATATAATCTGGAACAAAACATTACATTCATAAGCAACATTACGAATAGTTATTTACAATACTATAATCATAAGTAGATCATTTTGAATAACTGGATAGTTGCTTACTTGAAGTTTTCCTAAATAAACAATATTAATGTTAATGAATGATATATCCATAATTTTTCATTAACTTATAACTTATAATTATTGAAAAAAAAGTTGTGAACACATGTTCTAATTATACTCATGTGCATATAGCTCATATATATTTATTTATTTGTGCTTAATCATACAGTCAGTTCTTATTACATCTTATTACACAAAGGAATTATTTATAAAAACAAAAACCCACATAATACAAATTTATACTTTTCATTACAGTAAAACCTCAATTTAATGGATTAATTCAGGTAAGATGGTACCCATTAAATCAAAGTCTGTTATATAATACAGTAAATCTTCCAAACAAGTGTTAAAAATTTGACAAATTAGTTTATCTGTTAGGTTTTACTTATGGAGAAACATTTGTGTATGTATGTATGTTTGTATGCACAAGAAGTTAATTTCATAGAAATTTTTTTTTTATGTATTATTGCTAATGTACTCACCATAGTTCTGAGACTGTAATAAACAAGTATACAATCTAAATTAAAATAAACTTTTGGAAAATACATTCTAATTGTATTTAACTAAAAAAATAAATGTTCTTATAAAGAAACAAATTTTAATTAAAAAAATTCCTGTTTATTTGTCTTCAGCCAATTAACAGTTAATTTTCACATATGACAGAGGAAAAAATTTTGTCTGTTAAATCAAGGTTTTACTGTATTTGTTAAAGCTAAAATCCAACGAGTGATAATATATGAAAAAATATACTTGCATTTAAATTTGAATTGATAGTAGTAAAT